GAGAGAGAGAGAGAGAGAGAGAGAGAGAGAGAGAGAGAGAGAGAGAGAGAGAGAGAGAGAGAGAGAGAGAGAGAGAGAGAGAAGAGAGATAGAGAGAGAGAGGTAGAGAGAGAGCTGAGCTGTCCGTGTACCTGATGAGATGTCAGATAGATTGTCGTGGCTGCGTGTCGGTGATTGGTCAGCAGCCGGCCAGCGATGCAGCCTCGCTTTCATGTGCAGCTCGCCCTCCGACTGCGACAGAGCGCGCATGCGCGGGTCTACCTCGGTCCCCTGGCGGGTGGCTGTGAGTAAAAGACATCTGTTGACATGCTGTGATCTAAATAACGCGGTACATCGATCGAATAATCAATCAATCGATTGCTAGCTAGCTAGATAGCTAGATATAGATAGCTACATAAATAGATAAATAGGTAGGTAGGTAGATAGATAGATAAATAGATGGAAAAATAGATAGATAGATAGATATAAATAGATAGATAGATAGACAGACAGATAGATAAATAGATGGATAGATAGATAGATAGATAGATGGATAGATAGATAAATAAATATATAGATAGATATATAGATAGATAAGTAAATAGATCAATAGGTAAATAGATGGCAATATACACTATAACACATAATTATTGCAACGTTATTCACTCAATTAGCTTTTAATATTTTTACAATATAATTACATTCATTTTAGTGCATATATTGAAAATACGCCCCATACGCCCCACGTGACCCCCACTCCCCGCGTGACGTCACCGTATAAGCGTAGTACGTCATCCAGCGGGAGCTTTGCGGTGACGTCAGTGCTCTCCATGACGCCATGTTCGAACTCGTACTGCGCAGCGTCGAAGTACTTGGTGACCTTGCCCTTGTGCGGGTGCTGAACTAGATGCATGAAACGCCGGTACGACTGGTTGCGAGTGAACGCCCTCAGGTCGGTGTCCTTCTCCTGCGGAACAACGCGGAACAACGTGGAATAACGCGTATAGAATAACGCGGAACAACGTGGAACAACGCGGAACAACGCGGAACAACGCGTGAACCGGAGAACGTTTGTGTAACACACTTGTGATGGACGAACGTCACGAGAACGAACAGCAACGGTCACGGAACCGTCGGAGAACAATGCGTGTGGAACAACGCACGCACACACACACACACACACACACACACACACACACACACACACACACACACAAACACACATACATACACACAC